CGCCAACTACTGTTAGTTGTAAGTTGTCTTTGTCTATGTCACCTCAATCAGAGGAGGAGTTGTCTTATATGTCTAGAGTTCCATATGCAAACGCGGTTGGTTGTTTGATGTATGCTATGGTCTGTACTAGGCCGGATATTGCGCATGCTGTTAGTGTTGTAAGCAGGTTTATGGCTCGACCTGGGAGGGAACACTGGCAAGGGGTGAAAAGGATTTTTCGCTACCTGAGAGGGACAACTGATATTGGTCTTGTGTACGGGAATGGTAGGGAATGCTTGGTCACTGGGTACAGTGATTCTGATTATGCAGCTGATGTGGATACCAGGAGGTCTGTGACTGGTTATGTGTTCACTTTGGGTGGTTCTGTGGTTAGTTGGAAGTCTACATTGCAGTCATCAGTTACGTTGTCAACTACTGAAGCTGAGTATATGGCTTTAACTTCTGCAGCTAAGGAGTCTATTTGGCTCAAAGGCCTAGTAGGTGAACTGGGTATTGCACAGGATTTTGCTACAGTGTATTGTGATAGTCTAAGTGCGATTTGCTTAGCTAAAGATCAAGTACACCATGATCGGACGAAGCACATTGATGTCAGGTATCATTTCTTGCGTACTGACAAGAGGATTAAGGTGAAGAAGATTGGGACTGCTGACAACCCGGCTGATTTCTTCACTAAGCCTGTTCCGTTTAGCAAGTTTAAACATTGCTTAGACTTGCTAAATATTGATTACTACGTGATGTAGTAGGCCCTGAGGGGCGAAGTTGGGGAGCTCCTGGTGTAGGTGTGTTGGCCTTAAGGTGGAGCTTGCCCGGGGCTTGTGATGCAGGTGGAGCATTATGAGTTGTTATACTTGGAGACGAGTATGTGATGGGTCTTGGTTGAAGACTTATCGGGATGTATGGCTTATGCATGAGTCTTGCATCGGGTTTGGCTTGAGATGTTTTTCCACTATGTCTTGATGGGGTCGTTTGCTGACTACGAGTTCTCGTCAAGGTGGAGATTGTTGATAAGTATTAGGTGACTCGTACTTCGTAGCTTTGTCCGCCCGATCGGGCGGACATTGCCCGGTCTGACCGGGCGGTGGGGGTTGGATACGTTGAAGCATTCGTATGGAGTTTTCTTCTCGCGCCCGATCGGGCAGACCTTGCCCGGTCTGACCGGGCGGAGAAGGAAAAATGCGGAGACGCGGATTTTACGATTTAAAGTTATCTTTTATGTTATCTTTTTGCCCAAGTATCTTTTATTTTAGGGATTAATATAAAACCTCCCTAATATTAGTATAAGGGTTAAAAGAGAGAGAGTGAGAGCCGTTCTTGAGAAATACAAGAATCATCTTTGTAATCTTTGCAGTTTATAGTGAAATCATTCGATCTCGGTGCCCGTGGACGTAGCTATCACATCGATAGTGAACCACGTAAATTCTTGGTGTTGTTCTTATTGTTTGCATTGAATTTCTTTATTGTTTTCTTGTTTGTTTTCGACCTTTGCTTCCGCTGTCGCACAACACCATTCAACTAAACAATGGAAAACTTTTTTGAAAATGAGTTTTCCATTGTAAAATGATTTTCATGGAAAATCATTTTATATTGAAAATATTTTACACCCTACCAAATAGACCATTAGTTAATGGTTGAAATGGTGAGACTTGAGAAGAAAGAAGAAAGTTAGACTGTTAGACTGACAGAGAGTTAACCATGTTTATCGGTCATTAGATTTAAAAAAATTTTAACCATTAAATCAGCTTAATGCCATGTTTGAGATATTTTATAAATTCAAGGCTATTATTGATATTTTAAAAATTGGTTAATAACATTGAAAAAAGTCAAAAGTAAAGGGTCGTCTATGAGAAATTTCCAAAAGAACATATTTAACCTGAATTACACCTTCGTACTGCTTATTGTATATTGCTTCAACTTCTTGAATTGGAGGGGGAAGATTTAATTCACTATGTATGTACGTTATAGAAAATACAGGTTGCAAGAAACGACAACCTTATTACTAGCTAGGCAATGTAAAACTATTTGAGGTGAAAATAGTTTTCCTTTGAAGTTTGGAACATGTCCACTTCAACTTATTGTTATTGCAAGTGAGAATAAATCAAATAATAATAGGTATAATAAAATTAAATCAAACCATGCATAATTTTAAATACAGTATTAGTTTAATTACTTATTACTCCCACTATGTCTAAAGGTTTAGCCTGTTTGTATGGTGATTGTCTTACAATAACAATTATGGAGACAAATTGAAGACTAATTAAATATTCTTAATTAATTGCATGTTATTCAAAAAATTAAAGTATGCTAACTATACTACTCCGTAGCATTTTTTTTTTTTGCTTGAATTGAATGCCTTAATCTTATAAGTGGGGTCGGCTACATAAACCAATATGAGGACTTTTCAGGAGGTCACCCATCTTAGTACTACTCTCAATCATCTGGCCTACCGTAACCCTCCTCCTTTATCCAGATTTGGGACTGGCAGCGGAAAACCCACTGACAGGTTACTCCGTCGTAGCATTTAAAATTTAAAAAATACATATCCAGACAAAACTGTTCATAATTACTGTTTTTACTTATGGGTTTTTTAAAGTCACAGTTCAAATTTAGTCATCTAATGCATAAAATCATACTTGAAGGATTCAGATTAGGTCAAACGTTACATATTAATTAAAATATCTTGTTTCAATGGAAAATTTTAAGCTCTTCAATTATTTTTGATAAAAACAATACATGTACTCTCTTAATATATCATTACTTGCTCCATTTTTCTTTTGCGGTCGTATTGTAAAACTTGTTCCATTTTTTTTTATTTTTGAAAACTTTTAACAATATTTTACTATTTTCCCCCTCACTGATAGAGTTATATATGAAAAAGCTTTATTGATGAGTATACAAGAGTATATATATTATACAATATTAGAGCATTAAACATCACTAAACTATGACTAGGTACATTATCTAATAATAAGGGATATCTTAAACTATCAATCTAAATAAGTAAATCAAGGGATACACAAACTACAAACAGTAACTAATAATGATATAATCATCTTCCACACCTACTAGTGGTCCCCTCATATCATACTTTTTTACTATATTATATCTCTCATCTCCACGTATACGCATGGCTATCCACTTTTACTTTTTCGGTTTTTTTTCATTTTTCAACTGACCCCACTACCATCATAAAATAATATTGTTTACTACTCCGTGTTTCTCTTAAAACTTCGTGTCTTGAAAAATGAACCGAGAAATAAAATATAGAGGGAATATACTATCTCCGTTTTTGCAACTTGGGAATTTTTTATACAAAGTATTTCACAAATAATATACCGAAGTTGTAAATAATATGAAACAGAGATAGTATAATTAAAGAGCATTCTGAAATTGTGCAAAAAGTCACATTCATCCAGCGGAAGTGGTTAGCAAGTAATATTGAGAATGCATGTAAATACGTAAGACGAATTTATATACGACAGTTTTAATTAGATACTTAGAGTTGATTAGACATTTAGAGTTGATTAATCTTCTAAGACTTGAGCTATATATTCTTTTATGTTGTGCTGCGTGCTTCTCCTTATTAACTTTTTACAAAAATAATTACTTGGTGAACCATCAAGCAAATCATTTGAAATTTCTACACTTGACTTGGTAAACCAGTTATGTCATGGACATCAGTGTATGAAGGATTTATGCCTCCATCTCTTACACAAAAATTCTTCGGCATCTCACACTCCCACCAAGGCCAAGAGCAAGCGTGGTCTTCAAGAACATGTGATTCTCTCCCGCAGGTGTAAAAATTGACTTGATTAACTGATCGTATCTGACCCAAAAATACCTGATTCAAATTTTGACTCATAACTTATTTAGCTAGACTTATTTTTAAATAACCCGACTCAGGTACCAGATTTGACACCTCTATTCTCCCCCCTGATCAGTTTGGACAAGTGACCTAATGAATAAATTAGTTCCTACTATTTATAGATCACAGTACATTGTCTTCGATCTAGCTTTAATTATATTAAGAGTCCTTGACTCCTTGTGTTACTTTAGAAAAAATCAATGTATTAGGCCGCTAAAGTGGTGGGTTGTGTCTTATTTTTCTTTGTTGTAAGAAAGAAGAAAAAAAAAAGACTAGGCATATTTTAAAATGTCGGATGGGTGGAACCAAAAAAAGCACACTGTTAATTTTTTATGATAATATATGTTTAATACTCCATAGGATTTTACATGATGATACATGTTTACTATGTTAGTAAAAACTTAAAGTTAACATATAAATAGTTTTTTTTAAAAAAAAAAAATTAAGATATATTAATTATTGTGGAATGGGATGAGTATATTTTAAATTTTAAGATGGGTGAAACCAAAATATAGTGATCGAGATTGCAAGTAAATTTATGAGCCCGAAAAGGTAAATGATACAAACAAAAAAAGTACTACATTATTGTTGTTGTTGTTGTTATTTATTTATTTATTTATTTTATTGCAAATTACTAATTTGCATAGAAATTATAATTAATTTGTTTAATTATTATGATTGATTATTGCCTTCTACGTTATTTCAAAAATTCAATTATTATTATTGATTTAACAACTTTAGTATGACTTGGGATTTAACTTTAAAACAAAGAGACGGATAGAAATAAATAAAAAAAATTACCATCGCATAGAATCAAGCCCACATACTATGACCAACTTATAAAATGAAATATCTTACAAGTCCCACCACCATTTATTTTAAAAAATGCCAACTTTCGAAGAAGAAACAAAACAAAATATGGCAACTTACAAAGTTGCAGGAGTCATCAACTAAAAACAAAACGTGCGGCGATAGTAGCTAGACTTATTGTTCCCTTATATATATGTACTTGTTTAGACTTTAATTTCATAACAACAAAAAAACTAAGTCCATTTATTCAAAAGACATTAAAATAATCTCTTGCAAATTTCAATTCTCAAAAGAAATTGAGTGAATATGACTTGTATGAATGATACAGTTACAGAAATCGTTCGTCCGCTTGCTAATTATCCTCCCAACATCTGGGGTGATCACTTCCTCAATTATGCTCCCCCGGACGAGGTTTTTTTTATTGTTATTACTGCTACTACTACTATTATAATTATTACCCGTTTTATTCTATTCTATTCGTTTAATTAATTTGTGAGATTGGCCTTTTCTTTTATCTCATATACATATAATAAATTTTAAATTTTTTGAATTTGGCATTGAACCTCGTAAATTAATATTAATATTGCACATTTTAGTTTGTCACATACATGCATTTATAATAAAGTTAACTTGTTGCATATACTGATATACTTAAGAAGCAGTGGATATATATATTAAGACTATCAAAGTCTTATGAAAATAAATTATTTGTTTTTATACTAACAAATGTTAACAATTGGTTTAGGCTACCCAAGGCCGAATGGAGCAAGAGGCGGAAGAGCTCAAAGAGCTAGTGCGCAAAGAAATTTTGAACGTTCATAAGGACCCAATGGAAAGACTTGTATTCTTAGATGACATACATCGCATTGGAGTTGTATACCACTTTGAAAATGAAATTGAAGACACTTTTCGAAATTTCTATAAGAAGATGTATGATGATAGTTCCTATGAGGATGATCTTTACTATGTTTCTCTACGCTTTCGTCTCTTACGACAACATGGCTTCAATGTTTCATGTGGTATGTAACTATTATTGCATCTTCTTAAATCGTTATATTGTTTTTGTATGCATAGTTAGTTTCATGTTAAATGAAAAATATTCGAAGTTTATTGATATAATATTTGTATGTATAAGCAGATGTGTTTGAAAACTTCAAATGTGAGAACGGAAGCTTCAAGGAAAGGTTAACAAACGATGTGCATGGCCTATTGAGCTTGTATGAAGCGTCATATCTAGGAGTGCATGGAGAGAATACACTCGACGAAGCTCGTGTATTTGCTACTACTCATCTAACCTCATTTTCTACACAATCAAACTCTCCCATGGCCGAACAAATAGCCCATGCCTTGAAACTACCCCTCCATAGACGTAGTATAAGGCTAGAATCGTGGTACCAAATCTCGTTGTATGAGTCAAAGCCTTTCCATAATGAAGCTTTGTTGAAATTTGCGAAGTTAGATTTCAACTTGCTTCAAATACTGCATAACAAGGAGCTAAGAGATCATACTAGGTAAAAATGTGAAGTAACTTATTGATACAAGTAATTTATCTAGCTAGCGTTACTTGGTAATCACAAAATATTTAATGCTATGAAAATTCTATACTATACTAAATTTCTTTTACTCAGGTGGTGGAGAAGTCTAGATATGGTCACAAAATACCCTTTTGTTCGTGATAGAGTGGTAGAGGCCTACTTCTGGATTCTGGGTGTGTACTATGAACCTAAGTACTCGTATGCGAGGATGCTGCTAAACAAATTTTTCAACATTATATCTGTAATAGATGACATCTATGACGCTTATGGAACCATTGAAGAGTTAAAACCCTTCACCGAAACGGTTCAAAGGTTCGTTAACATGCATGAATTGAATGTGCCATATGTGTATATAAAGTACTCCTTAATCTTTTTTAACCTATTTATTACTGAAATTATAGGTGGGACAAAAGTTGCATCAGTCAACTTCCGGACTACATGAGAGCAATTTCTCAAGTTATGTTTGAAACGTTTGAAGAAATTGAGCAAGACTTAGCTTTGGAGCAACGATCATATGTTGTTTATCATCTCCAACAGTGGCGGACCCAGGAGTTTCCGACTGATGAGTCACAATCGATAACCAAATATGTAAAAAAAAAATTTGACAACATGACAAGCTTAGCTCTCTAATAATTGACAAGATTAAAATCTTTACAAGCATTAGGGTGTATTGACAATTTGACAGACATAATTGACTATATCATTAGGGTGGGTCGACTATATCATAAGCAATCGTCTGAATCGCCAATCAAATCAGCACATATGCAAAACCCCATATAAATCTACCAAAGCCAATGGTGTATTGACAATTTGACAGACATAATTGACATCAATAAACACCCTAAATAAACACTGACTACAATTCACATGGTCAAAAAGGTTCAAATTTCACCAAAATCCCAACAACATTAACAAAAGGTTCAAAGTTTACCAAACAAACAACAACAAAATCAACAAAAGAAAATAATTTTTTTTTTTGTTTTTTTTTTAAAAAACTTAGAAATTTTGTTTGGGCCTGGTGAGTCATTTGACTCACCATGCACAAGGCCAGGTCCGCCAATGATCTCCAAAAAGAAGTACATACACATTTAAACATAATCTATATATAATTTTTTTGTTTTGCTTGAGAGATTATATAAGAACTAACGTAAATTATCAATGTCATATTTTATTTACTAGATGAAAGCTATATGTCAAGCTTACTTTCAAGAATCTATTTGGCATCATCAAAATGTTGTTCCAACTTACGATGAATACATGAAAAATGGCATCATCACCTCTGGCTATTTGTACATTACTGCTGCCTCTTATCAAGGCATGGGGGAGTTGGCATCTAAGCATGCCTTTGAATGGGTCGACGAAAATACAAAGGCTCTAAAAGCTTCGTGCATACTTGCCAGGCTCTTGAATGACATTAGTAGCCACAAGGTATGTACTCCCACAAATAAACTAAGATGACAAGTTTACAACTACGTGACAAGGCAAGGCAGACACCCCGTTATTTGAAATTACTTGTTACATATATTTAACTCCTAAACATTTATACTTCAATGAAAAATTGTTCATAATCTGAATTGGACATACATGTGGTTAGTTATAAGTTTGAAATTATGAAAATTTGTACTAGTTGCTTATTACAATTATATTTGCAACTGTGACAACTTTTTACGAATATTTTATAGAAGGAAAAAAAAATACTTTGTACATATTTGGTTAGTCATAAGTTTAAATTGACAAATTGTATATTTAATTCACAATGTTACTCTTATCGTACCAATTTAAAATAAAATTAAATGAGATAAAAATTGATGGTTAGATTTGTTGTTAGTGATTGTATAATTAGTGGTAGACAAATCAGTAATAGTGGACCGGGTTAATTGACCTCATTTAAATTTAAAAATACTGAAAATTTTCCACCTTATAAGATTTGTAGTTTTATTTACAATTTGTTTAAAAATTTTACTATTTGACACCATTATTCATTTTTTTTTTTTTTTTCACAAAAACCGCCACATATCGTTGTGGTTATACATGATTGCCCTTGCTCAATCCAATCTTACGATTTCATTTTAATGGATATTTGTAGTTTGAGAAGACCAGAGGTCATGTTTCGTCTGCAATAGATTGCTATATGGTTCAATTCGGATTCTCCATCGAAGAAGCTAAGAAGGAGCTCCAAATACGCATTGAGGAGGCATGGAAGGACATGAATGAAGAAATAATTGGGTCAAGAATTGTTCCAACTCCTATACTATTCGCAGTTATCAACGTTACAAGAACATTATGTGACATCTATCATTGTGATGAAGATGGCTATACCGTCGGCCAATTTATGCAAGAAAAAGTTGCCACTATTCTTGTTGATCCTATTATTATGGCATAAATTTTGAATCATACGTACCTTGCATTTTGATTTCTCGTATTTATGCATTATTACTTTTGTGTTGAATAATTTACATTTGGTTAAAGCATACGATTTTATTTGTAGTAATACAATATATGTATAATATTACTATTGTTGATAAGTATTAGGTGACTCGTACTTCGTAGCTTTGTCCGCCCGATCGGGCGGACATTGCCCGGTCTGACCGGGCGGTGGGGGTTGGATACGTTGAAGCATTCGTATGGAGTTTTCTTCTCGCGCCCGATCGGGCAGACCTTGCCCGGTCTGACCGGGCGGAGAAGGAAAAATGCGGAGACGCGGATTTTACGATTTAAAGTTATCTTTTATGTTATCTTTTTGCCCAAGTATCTTTTATTTTAGGGATTAATATAAAACCTCCCTAATATTAGTATAAGGGTTAAGGGAGAGAGTGTGAGAGCCGTTCTTGAGAAATACAAGAATCATCTTTGTAATCTTTGCAGTTTATAGTGAAATCATTCGATCTCGGTGCCCGTGGACGTAGCTATCACATCGATAGTGAACCACGTAAATTCTTGGTGTTGTTCTTATTGTTTGCATTGAATTTCTTTATTGTTTTCTTGTTTGTTTTCGACCTTTGCTTCCGCTGTCGCACAACAATTGGTATCAGAGCCAGGTTCAATCCTTGGAGAGTTTCTTGAAGATAACAATGGCAGGAGATTCAACAATAAGAATTGAGAAGTTTACCGGGAAAAATAGTTTCGGGCTATGGCAAATTAAGATGAAGGCTCTGTTAAAACAACAGCAGATATGGCGTCCGTTGGCTCCAAAGAGTACTACTTCGGAGTCAGGAGACGGACCGACTGACTCGCAGTTAGAAGTTATGGAAGAGAAGGCACACTCTACCATATTACTTAGTCTTGATGATCAAATCATCACGGAGGTGGCTGATCAGGAAACGGCGGCTGGATTGTGGCTGAAGCTGGAGTCATTGTATATGACTAAGTCGTTGACCAACAAATTATTACTGAAACAGCGGTTGTTTAGCCTCCGGATGCAGTCAGGTACTTCCTTACGGGAACATCTAGAAAAACTTAACTCTATTTTGCTTGATTTACGTAATTTAGATGTTAAAATTGATGATGAGGATGCTGCGTTGATTTTACTTGTATCTCTACCGTCTAGCTTTGAGAATTTTGTAGAGTCTTTTGTTGTTGGTAAGGATTCTATAACCTTAGAAGAAGTGAAGGCAGCACTTCATACTAGGGAACTCAGAATGAAAGCTACGAGTGATAATGGGGATAATGGTAGTGGGTTGTTTGTTAAGTCCGGAAAGTCTAAAAAGAATAAGGGGTTTAACAAGGGGAACAATGCTGGGTCGGGTGCTGGAAACGGCAAGGATGGATCTAGTAAAACTACTACTAAAACATGTTATTACTGTAAAGAACCGGGTCACTTTAGGAATAATTGTCCGGTGAGGAAAAACAAGTCCCAGGCTGCTGTAGTTGAAGAGAAACCGAATGAGAGCTATAATTCAGAGGAAGATTTAGCATTAGTCAGTTCTGCTAGGTCTGATGATTTATCTGATAACTGGGTTCTAGATTCGGGGTGTTCGTTCCATATGTGTCCACGTCGAGATTGGTTTGATACATATGAACCTCGCAATGGGGGTATGGTTATAGTCGGTAACAATGCTCCATGTAAGGTCACAGGTATTGGTTCCATGAGGTTGAGGACTGTTGATGGGCGGAGGTTAACTTTGACTAATGTACGGCATGTTCCTGCTTTAGGAAAGAATCTGATTTCATTGGGTACCCTGGATGACTTGGGGTACAATGGTGTGTTTTCAGATGGGGAGTTGTGTATTTTCAGAGGTTCTGAGTTGGTACTTAAGGGTATCAAAAGGAACACCCTCTATGTTTTTGAGGGTGTTACACTGCCTAGTTCTGCGGTTTGCGCATCTGTATCTCACCAGGAGATGACTAAGATTTGGCACATGAGGCTTGGTCATATGGGGGAGAAGGGGATGCAGCTATTGTCCAAGAGGGGTCTTCTATCCGGGGTCAAGGTTTCCAACCTTGAATTTTGTGAGCATTGTGTGTTTGGTAAGAAACACAGGTCAAAGTTCAGCAAGGGTGCTCACATTACTGATGCAGTGCTCGATTACATCCATTCAGATTGCTGGGGTCCATCTAGAGTTGAAGGTATGGGAGGTTACCACTATTTTGTGTCATTTGTTGATGACAAGTCCCGATACACATGGCTTAGGTTGCTTAAGTCAAAGGATGAGGCCTTCAAAGTTTTCAAGCAATGGAAAGCTTTGGTGGAAAATCGACAAGGAAGGAAGATCAAGAAGCTACGAACGGACAATGGGCTAGAGTTTTGCAAAGACGAGTTTAATCAGTTCTGTGCAGATGAGGGTATAGGTCGGCATCATACTGTCAGGAAGACACCACAGCAGAACGGTGTAGCAGAACGGGTTAATCAGACACTGCTAGAGAGAGTTCGATGCATGCTCTCTAATGCAGGGCTTGGGAGGAGGTACTGGAGTGAAGCTGTGTTAACAGCTTGTTATGTCATTAATAGGGGTCCTCATTCTGGAATTGATTCCAAAATTCCGTTTGAGATCTGGAGTGGTAAGTTGCCTAATTTTTCGAATTTGAAGATTTTTGGTTGTGTTGCTTATTATCATGTTATTGAGGGTAAGCTGGATCCACGAGCCAAGAAGGGGTGTTTTGTTGGGTACGGGGATGGTGTGAAGGGGTTTAGAATTTTTTCACCTTCGGAGGGTCGGGTCATTCTTAGTAGGGATGTTACTTTCGATGAAAACACCATGTATTCAATTAAAAATGCAGAGATTTCAGATTTGAGAAGGGAAGGAGACAATTTATTACAGACAGATGGGGTACTTGAGGTACATCAGTCTACCATTGCTGATTTACCTCGGGTACAATATATTGATGATGATGCTGATGTTCCAGTGCCGGGTACTCCTGAACCTGAGATTACTCCTACTCATTCTAACTCTGGGGATGAGGTGGAGCAATCTAATCAGGGGTCATCTAGTCAACCTGACACCATTCTTGAGATGCCTAAACGAGTTATCAAGAAGCCTGTTAGATTGATTGAAGAGATGGAGGGAAGAAATTGCTGTGTTGATGCGATGACAGGTTATGCATTGAGTGTAGCTGATGATGTAGAGTCATTTGAACCTGCCACATATAAACAAGCAATTAGTTGTAGTGAGTCTGCGCAATGGCTTGCCGCAATGGGTGAAGAGATGCAGTCTCTTTACAAGAACAGAGTGTGGGAACTGGTAAAGGTACCGGAAGGGAGGAAGCTTGTGGGTTGTAAATGGATTTACAAGAAGAAAGAAGGGTTGTCGGAAACTGAGCAAATACGTTTTAAGGCTAGGCTAGTTGCTAAGGGGTTCAGTCAGGTAGAAGGGGTTGATTTTGTTGAGATATTCTCACCTGTGGTTCGACATACTTCTATCCGTGTGTTATTGTCAATTGTAGCACATTTTGATCTTGAGCTGGAGCAGTTGGATGTTAAAACGGCTTTCCTTCATGGCGATTTGGAGGAGGAGATTCTGATGAAGCAGCCCGAAGGATTCGAAGTTCCTGGAAAGGAACACTATGCCTGCAGATTGCTAAAGTCATTGTATGGACTTAAGCAATCCCCCCGACAGTGGTACAAAAGGTTTGATTCTTTTATGGTTTCACAAGGTTTTGACAGGAATTCATATGATTGCTGTGTGTATCATAGTAAGCTGGATAATGGTTCCATGATTTATCTTTTGTTATATGTTGATGACATGTTGGTTGCCACAAAGAATAAATCTGATATTGCTAGATTAAAGGAGATGCTTAACTCGGAGTTTGACATGAAAGACTTGGGTGCAGCTAGGAAGATTTTGGGTATGGAGATCTACAGGGATCGGGCTAGAGGTAAGCTTTTCTTGACTCAGAAAAGCTACATTGAAAAGATTTTGTCTCGTTTTGGGATGGAAAAATCGAAGCCTATAAGTACGCCAACTACTGTTAGTTGTAAGTTGTCTTTGTCTATGTCACCTCAATCAGAGGAGGAGTTGTCTTATATGTCTAGAGTTCCATATGCAAACGCGGTTGGTTGTTTGATGTATGCTATGGTCTGTACTAGGCCGGATATTGCGCATGCTGTTAGTGTTGTAAGAAGGTTTATGGCTCGACCTGGGAGGGAACACTGGCAAGGGGTGAAAAGGATTTTTCGCTACCTGAGAGGGACAACTGATATTGGTCTTGTGTACGGGAATGGTAGGGAATGCTTGGTCACTGGGTACAGTGATTCTGATTATGCAGCTGATGTGGATACCAGGAGGTCTGTGACTGGTTATGTGTTCACTTTGGGTGGTTCTGTGGTTAGTTGGAAGTCTACATTGCAGTCATCAGTTACGTTGTCAACTACTGAAGCTGAGTATATGGCTTTAACTTCTGCAGCTAAGGAGTCTATTTGGCTCAAAGGCCTAGTAGGTGAACTGGGTATTGCACAGGATTGTGCTACAGTGTATTGTGATAGTCTAAGTGCGATTTGCTTAGCTAAAGATCAAGTACACCATGATCGGACGAAGCACATTGATGTCAGGTATCATTTCTTGCGTACTGACAAGAGGATTAAGGTGAAGAAGATTGGGACTGCTGACAACCCGGCTGATTTCTTCACTAAGCCTGTTCCGTTTAGCAAGTTTAAACATTGCTTAGACTTGCTAAATATTGATTACTACGTGATGTAGTAGGCCCTGAGGGGCGAAGTTGGGGAGCTCCTGGTGTAGGTGTGTTGGCCTTAAGGTGGAGCTTGCCCGGGGCTTGTGATGCAGGTGGAGCATTATGAGTTGTTATACTTGGAGACGAGTATGTGATGGGTCTTGGTTGAAGACTTATCGGGATGTATGGCTTATGCATGAGTCTTGCATCGGGTTTGGCTTGAGATGTTTTTCCACTATGTCTTGATGGGGTCGTTTGCTGACTACGAGTTCTCGTCAA